GCGGCCCCCGCGGGGTGGGGCCTGGCTCGCCGCAGCACCTGCTGATGTTCCTGGGGAAGAAGGTGAGGTCCAGGCTCTGCAGCCAGCGCAGCACGGGCCGCGACAGGCGGCATCTTTTCGGGGGTGGCGGGTAGACCAGACCCGCCCTGGGCTTCCCGCGGGCGGGCGCTGCTGGCTGGGGCGGAAGCGGGGATGGCTCGGCTGAGGCTGCCGCCGGCGGCCACCAACGTCTTCCTGTCGGGCCGGCGGCAGCCATGGCGTTTCCGGGGTTTCTATGGCAACGGCCGAGGAAAGGCAGGGCCTCGGGGCGGGTGGGTGGAACTGAACCACCGGGAGAGAAGGGACACGCGTTGGTCCTCGCTCTGGCTGACCAGGGAGCCTCCACTTGGGAGGAAGCGTGGGATCTCAGTTTGGCCTGGACTCCATCACGGGTAGCCTGCTTTGTGTGCGGTTTGAACTTCGGCACTCAGAAACTTGCATTTTAAAGTTTGTGCGTTCTGCCTCGCCAAGGCCTATTTTTTAATGAAACCTTTGGGGAGAGGTGATGGGAGGCACCAGAAGATACACAGATCGAGCTGGAAAAGATAGGCATTGGGCTTCCAAAATTCTATAGAGAATCTGCACCATTGACCATAATCGATGATTCAAATCTACAAAATTTCAACATTCTTAGTGCCTTTATTAGGAGCCTTTATGAAGTAAAATGAACTATTTGTTAAACATAAGACGGATAGTTGAAGACCCCCAGCTCCTGTGAGGGAGAAAGATGAGGCAGTTTGCTTCCTGGAACATTGACAGCCTCAAAAAAACCCTGTGGAACATTTCTACTCCGCCCTCCGGAGCCCTTAGGAGTTGCAATCAACTGGAAGGTAGTAGGATTTCCCAAATTTAGACGTAACGTTGCACACTGCCTGCAGATGCCTTAGTAAGCATGCTTCGTTCATTCCGACTACCACCAATACTTTTTGAATTCCAAATGTGTATCGGGAAATTGTCCGCAGAGTTACAGTCTGATTCCTCCCTTACCAGACATTTTGGAAACGCCAGCTGTGGAGGGAACTAGAGAAAGCAGGAAGAAGGGTTGCTGTGTTTCCTGTTTGCTTGCTGCTCCTAGCCTTGTCGCCATGGCAACCGATCTCAACCTGGCAGGGGCAATTGGTGATGTGTCCCAACTTTTTTTTTTTTTTGTAACTGCTAGAGCAGGTTTCCTCATGCTCCCACAGACGTCCTGCAACAGCTGAGAAATCGCCCCTCTTGAAAGTCGGAGCCCCAGATTTCACTCTGGGC